TGTCTGTCTGTGTCTGTCTGTGTCTGTCTGTGTTTGTCTGTGTCTGTCTCTGTCTGTCTGTGTCTGTCTGTGTCTGTCTGTGTCTGTCTCTGTCTGTCTCTGTCTGTCTCTGTCTGTCTCTGTCTGTGTCTCTGTGTGTCTGTGTGTGTGTGTGTTTTTGTGTTTGTGTTTGCTTGTTTGTTTTCCTTGTAGGTGTCATTCTGTCTTTGTCTCTGTTGTTTGTCTTTCGTCCCCGTGTCTCGGGGCTCGGCGTCGGAGATCATCAGAAAGCACCAGAAAAAAAACTGCAAGAACAGCGGGGCTGCCTACAATTCTCTACATTCTCACGAGGGCTGTGCTGGGCTTGGCCGAGAACGGGGCCGAGAACCCCATGAAAATAAACATACTTCGACAACGACGTTCCTGTTAGTACGGATACCTATAGGGACTGCTCTGTGCCTGCATCCTGTGTCGGTTGTTTCCCTGCGGGTGCAGCGGGATGCAGAGGGTGCATGTTTACGGCGTGCATCTTGCTTTTTCGAAAGGTCTGTGTATCATGCTGACATCGTTATCTTGCCACCGTTCTGACCCTAGCGAGATTGCTTCACTCCAGTACTCGCAGGTCATCTCCGTTGGCGACTGCGAGTTAGTCATCTTGCAACTTGGCTCATCAATCGTGAGGCTCAACTGCGGGGCAGTGTGGCATCAAGACTACAGTGACCAGTATTACAAGAATTCGAAGTTCAATCTGATTTGGCTGAGACCACAGGGCTGGTGGCTTTGTGCCTGAAGTCGTGGAAACTCGTGTTGCGCAGACTTTGCAAAGCACCACTTTTCTGTGCATTTCGGGGGCGTTCTCCGAGGCGGCGGTTGCAAGGTCGTTCGGGCCCTTTGGAACTCGTGTTCCATACAGCACCTCCGCGGCAGGCAGTTGCGATTTTTTTTAAGCTGAAGAAGCTGCCAATTGCTGGGATGAAGGCATGCAGGGCAGATCTTGTCACTCTCTGCACAGGGATGCAGTCACGCGGATCGGCCTGCAACCATTGGAGCTCGACTCCTCGACCATACAATGAAATCGCGGAAGTCGATGATGCCAAGTGGGCCGATGCGCGCGGACACACAGAGTGCGATACGGTCAGAACCTTCCAGACCAGCGCGCATATACCAGGGGTTCGACTTAGTCAGACCGGTCGAAATCTTGAAGTCGGTGGGTTCCCATCATGTTAGCTGCCTTTTGCTCGGCACCTGCAAACCTAAGTACAGAGCTCAATGTCGCGGTGATTGTAGCGTCGCCGTGAGCTTCGATAGCCGGGAATGCTTTGTCGTGCTGGGTGCCTAGACTTCTTAGTTTTTGGGTTTGGCGGAGGCTTACTAGGCTATAGGTTTGGTTCACGTGACACTCGCATGATCCCGCATGTGGGGTCTCTAAACGTCTTGAAGCCCCTGTCCCCGTGTTGGTTACTCCTTCCTGGTTGTCTGTATCTTTGGTGTAGCCTGTCCGCTAGTAGGATGCAGTGGGGCTTGTTGGGAATGCCCAAAGTCGTCAAGCTGTAAAGTAGTCCAGTTTGTGTCTCGTTCGGGATGGCAGCCGTGGCCTAGGCGCGCATGGGCGGGTTCGGTTATGGGCTTGGTCTGACTCTTCCTGTGGGAAGTGGACCAGTTGTCGTGCGCCTGGCTTTGTGCGGTCCACTCAAGAGGTTTGCTCGGTGGTGTAGAAGTCGTCTACTCTGTCTCTCTACGTCTCATTGAGGGAATGGGATGCCCTTCTGCGCGTACGGAGTGGCATCTGCCACCAAGCCCGTCCAACGCATACGAAGAGCTATAAACTTCCTCACTTCGCTCCTCTTGAAGTTGGTGGCTCTTTGCTGCGTGGGGGCTGCGAGTTGAGTTTGCAGACCCATGCCTTGTCATCATGGGGGGATTGATCCTGTTCTATGCATCCTCTAATATCCTTTCCTTCCGAGCTGATGTACCGAGAGAGGCTGAAGTGCACTTAGCGTGACCTTCTCTCAACGGATTCAGGATCCTGCTTCATGGCTTCCTTACAGCGAAAGGGCCTCTTGGCCCGGGTAGCCTGGCGCGCTCCCTCTGCCCAGGAGGGGGAGAGAGAAACAGATGCCCCAAAGGACCAGAGCGCCAGACGCTGGACGAACTGAGCCCCTTCGAGGGGGAGCGGGGGGGAGGGGGGCTGAGAGCGCCCTCGCCACCTTGCTCGGCAGCAAGCCAGCAAGACACCCCAAAGCCTCTCACTCAGTAACACACCCTACGCCCAACAGAAAGAAAGCAACCAAGAGAGACGGACAGACCTTCCCGGACAGGACCAGAACCAGAAAAAGCATCCAATCATCTGTAGTGATTTCATGATAGCAGTTTCGAGACACAGCTGGTGGCCTCCGTATGCGCACATGCCACAAGAACTCAAACTATGTTCAGTGTAACCGATGGTATGCCCGCGTCTTAACGGTCTTAACGGGTCCGAAGCATTCCGAAGCTCAGCTGTGCCATGTAAACGCGGTTCCGGTTCCGGCACTACTGAACGAAGAGCCGGATCCAAGTTTGTTTCGCGTGCGTGAGAGCGCAGCGTAAATCACACAACTGAATCAAAGGGGGCGTTCCTTTCCACGTGAGGGTTGCTAGTCAGCGGGGCTTCGCTGTCAACTTATGCAAGATCAGTCTGAAACCAGCACTCCTTGTCTTCAGTGGTTCAAGCAGGTAGGCAATAAAGGGCGTTCCTCTCCCTCGGACGTCGGACATGGGCTTCTCGCCCCTTCACCCCTGAGAACGGAAGGGAGAGAGAGAGCAACGCGAACACGACGAGAGAGGGTCAGGCAAACAGCTGTAGTTGTCAAGGAAATGCAGCGCGTAGACGGCCACTGTCAGACACCACTGCAGTCGCTCAGATGCAGAGCGCGATGTAGATCAGTTTTGTGCTTGGCGGTTTTGATTCATCGTCGAGCTGCAGAATCCCCATGTGATCACTAGGCTGGCCCGTGTAGATGAGCGCATCGATCCAAACTTTGATGCCACTTGGCCCACTTTTTGACCATTTTGGCCTGCTGCTGCCTTTGCTTATCGCCCGGAGGACAGCATCACAGTGGAAGTCATCGAGCGTGGAAGCGCTGTGCACTGTGTCTCTGCCTACGACACTTGCGCTAAACATCACCACGTGAAGCCTATTTACGGCAGCCGGTCGCGCTCTGTTTGTGCTTTTGTCGGTATAAAATGTAGAGTCAATCCTTTGTGTCAGATTCTGGGTGGCACCGGGCGGTTTTAGCATGCGATGCCTTGCCAAGGAGGGTGACGTTGTGCTCGTCGGCTCCGACGGCGTGTTTGATAATTTGTTTCTAGCTTCTCGGATGACCATGCCCAGTTGAGCAGATGGCCGAGCTGCGGAGACATGGATTGTAGGGCTAAGATGGCCGACCACCCAGAACATTTGCCACACTGCGAGGATGAAGTGTCAGCCATTGCGAATGCCACGTTGCCACCGGGTCTTCAGCTTCTTGGAACTGGCACTTTTGACGGTATTTGATGGTAGAAGTAGGTTGGGGAAAGCTGCTTGCATTTCGGTCCGGTCGGAAGCCAGCGACACCAACAGATAACATTCTAGAGTCTTTAAATAAAACGGCTTTAACCTTGCCCATGTCACAGCTGTGACATGCTGGGATGCTTCGTCTGAGGTTGCCGACACACTCTTCACAGCTCACACTGCTGGCTACGCGGATTGTTCAGGCAGGTGAAAGAGCTACAGAAAGACTGCTGTCGGGCTTGGACGACAGAACGAGCCAGGGATCCCTTTTTTGCGAGGCGGGCCATGTAGATGCTGATGCTTGCATCGACCGTAGGCGGCGCACCAGAAGACAGAGATACGAGCTGGAGGCTTCCTTGCAGAGGCGCCGTAACTCGATGGCAAGAGAGAGAGAGAGAGAGAGAGAGAGAGAGAGAGAGTACACGATTTGGTAGGTCCTTAGTATGGCAGTGTGTAGTGGTGCGTTTTGAAGTTGCCCTCCCCGTAGAAATGTTGGGAGACTTGCGGATGACCTCGATGGTGCATACATGGTATTCCATGGTCATGGTCTTAGAAGGGGTGTTGTTCGGGGACGGGGGTTACAGGCAACATCGAGGGGAACGTTTGCTCTCCAACCCCGAAAGGGGCCTCGCAGACAGACCTTCGCGAACCTGGGGGGTAGGCCTTCGGGCCAGGGGACCCTGTCTCCATACCCCAAGCAAGCAAGCAAGTGTGAACACTAGCCCTTGTGAGGACTAACTGATCAGGATCGGAGTGCGCACTGACCGACCTTGCACCTGCATGGCTCAAGCTTTGCGAAAAGGCGCGAACCTCGACGCATGCATTCGATAGCGCTGTCAGTTCATATTGGCAGCGGAGCTACGTGCTCTAGGGACCTTTGTGAGCCCGCTTTTTCATATCACGATAGGCAGCTTGAAGCATAAGACCTAGATCCTTCGTCCGGCGAGATGGCTTTGCTGGAGGGCCTGTCATGGTCCAAATTCATGGAAGTTTCTTCTGAGAGCGAAACCACCGAGGGCAAGTACGGCATACCGAGGTATGACGGCAATGTCCACCAGCTCCAGGAGTACACGTACAGAGTGAAGATGAGGGAGCTGAAGGAGAGCGGCATGGAGGCGTCCGAGTTGAAGAAGATCGGCCCTTTGGGCATACGCCTCGTGGAGGGCCTTCGTGGTCCCGCTCTCCACATGGTCCGGGAGATTCCCCCGGAAGACCTGGCCACAGCAAAGGGGCCAGCGCTGATCATCAAGTGCCTCAACCGAGCACTGAGGCCGAGAAGGGAGCAGGAAGCAAGAGAGTTATACAAGGCTGGGGCCAAGGAACATGGTCCCCTGAGCCGCCAGTATGGAGAGCCGGTCTCGATGTATGTCTTGAGACGGCGTACCTGGTGGTCTATGTTGCAAGACTTAGACAGCAGCATAAAACTACCTGAGGAAATGCTTGCAGAACAGGTTCTCCAAAACGCCCGCCTGTCGGACGACCAGATCCTCATGATCCGGACCGTGGTCGGCAAGGCCTTGACTGTGGAGTCGGTTTGCGAAGAGATGGTGGCCCAGCATGCCACCCTGCACCTCAAGGAGAAGAGAGCTCCGACCCACTTTCCGCGTGGAAAAGGGCTTGGCTACAAGGGCGGCTATAAGGGCGGCAAAGGCAAGGGCTACAGCTATCTGGCTGAGCTGGACGAGGCTGGCGACTACCAGTCCGAGGCCTATGCCGCATGGGACAGCCAGAGCCAGAGCCTGGGTGGATATGAGGACGATGTGCTCGACTATGCCTACCAGGCGACGCCGGACCCCGACTATGTGGACGAGGATGAAGGTGTGGTCCAGGCCTTCACGGCGATGCTTCAAGAAGGGTTTGACGAAACCTTGGATGGCGAGGCGGCCGAGTTTGCGGCAGAGGTCTTGCAGTCGGAGGGCGAGGCCTATATGCTACGGCAGCAGGCCACTCAGCGTGGCCACCCGGGATTCCAGAACAAGCGCTATGAGTTCCGGGGCGAGATGAGCATCGAGGAGCGCAAGGCCCGCATCAGCTCGCTCAAGGAACGCACCACGTGCAAGAGGTGCGGCCAGAAAGGGCACTGGGCGAATGACGCCAGTTGCCCGAAGGGGAAAGGAAAGCGGCACAGCAAGGGTGCCGCGGCTTCTTCCTCGGCTTCGTCTTCGGCGTCTACGGCTGCCAGCAAGGGAAAGAACAAGGGCGGCCACAAGCCGCGACCGGTCTATTTTGCCATTTCGGAACCAGACCGGCCCAGCAAGACGGCCATGATGGCGACAAGGGACGATTTCACTAAGGTGCCGCCGCCGACCAGCCTGGATCCGCCAAGACCGGCCTCCTCCTATTTCCCGACTTCGCTGGATGGGGTGGCACCGCCTACGACTTTGAGTTCCTTGTTGGCTTGGCCTGGGAGCGGGCCGAGGGATGGCGAGAGCGACCGTCGGCAGCCAAGGGAAGGACGTGAGACAAGGAGGTCTGAGGCCTCCGCTTTGGCTGTGCCAGAGCCGGCGGTACCTGAGGCGACCCAGCTGACACCGGCCACCTCCTCTTCTTCGGCTTCGGCTATGGTGGCCGTGGCTCCGGAACACCCGCCTCACCTGAAGCTTGTAGAAGGCCTCGACCTGGACCAGCAGATGCTTATAGCAGCTCTTCGTGCAAACAGTGACGTGGTCCTGGACCAGATGGTGGAAGCAGCAAGAGCTATGGATGTTTCCGGTGGCGAGGGGCGCTTGGTGCTTACCCAAGGGCCCATGGAACCAGGACCGGCGGACTTCTACGTGCCGGTCGACCACACGGTGCCTACAGACGGCCCCGCCTCAGCTCCTTTCCCGGTGCCTGCCGACACCCCTGTCCCTGGGGACGACGCGGAGTCTTTGAGTATGGCGTCGCCCTCGGAATCTTGGCTAGAGGCAGGCCTGGAAGAACTTGGACCAGAGCAGCATTTGGCTGCTCCCGAGCAGGCGGCGGCGGCAGACAAGGGTCGAGGCACGAAGCAGTGTTTGCATGCTCGCTTTACCACCAAGGGCACGAACAAGCACTATTACTTCAAGACCTGCCTCGATTGCAAGATGGTCTTGGAGCGTCGCAAGAAAGAGGTCGCGGAGAATGCCCCGACGGAGTTCCCGAAGAAGCCGGAGGACTGTGCCCACCTCAATGTGAGCCGCCAGGGCACGAACAGCCACGTGTGGAAGTGGCAGTGCCGAGACTGCGGCTTAAGGAAAGAAGGGCGGCATGGACAACAGCCGGCGACTTTCGGCAATGCACTGGGAGGTGCCTTGGCCAAGAACTTTCAGCAAGGCCCGGACACTGCGGCCGTCAAGGTGATGGAGCTTGCCGGCACCGTGGTGATGATCCAGGAGAGCGGCGGGTTACCTGTGGAGCTCGACCGCCTACCGTCTATCGTGGAGAAGTGTGTGGCCATCTACCGTCAGAAGGAAACCGTGCGGAACTTGAGTGCCAACACGGCGGCCGCGACTACCACAGCTTCCTCCCGCGAACCGGCCTCAAAACCCCGTCCTGGAGCTCAGTTTTCGAGTGGGGCTGCGGCCGGCCAGCCTTCGTCGGCTAACCGGGAAAATGTGACCGGCAATTCCGTTCTCCAGTCGGGCAAGTATAAGGGGCAAACCTTTGAAAAGGCGATGCGGGACTACCCTGAGTACGCAGACTGGATTGTATCCCAGTCAAGGAACCTCACCGAGAATTCCTTGAGGCAGTTTCGCCACTATGTTGTGCTGCAGCGGGCCCGACCGGCCGCCTACATGGTGAACGAGCACCCGGTTTCCGAGAACTACCTCCTAGCGGTCCTTGACTCAGGGTGCAACCAGACCTGCCACGGCGCCTTGTGGATGAAGAAGTATGTGGAGGCTAGCGGCCAGGAGTTCCGTTCTTTGGAACAGGCGCAAGGACAGTCCCTAAGGGGGATTGGAGGTCGCGTGCGCACCTTGGGGAAGCGCACTATTCCTATCTCCTTGCAGCTGCAGGACGGCACCCTTGCCCACGGCAGCATCGAGTCGATTGAGCTAGAGGGTTCCGATGCACCCCTCCTTCTTAGCTGTCGGGTTTAGTAACAGCTTGGCATTGTCCTGGACTTGGGCAACCTCACGGCACACAGCCGGCTGTTTGGCCAAGACCTGGAGTTGGAAGATCGAGAAGGGCTTCCGGCTGTGCGGCTCCTCCCCTTTAACGACCAGTACCAGCAGCAGTTTGCGATGATGGTTGAGAACGACCCCCCGACCACAACGCCGACAGCGGCCCAACCGGAGATTGACGAAGAGACGGCCGAGGAGAGCGACTTTTGGCAGCAACAAGAAGGAGTATGGGTAAGTGTTCACGTGGGCAGAGCCGAGCACTGAAGACGAGATCGAGGACTGCGTTCTCCACTGCGCGGTTCGACGCACCGTGGCCATTGTGGAAGGCACCGGTGAGAAGCTTGAATTCCGAGACCACTGGCTGCATCTTCGGCCGGACGAGCTAGCCACTCAAGGCTACCTCGAGGGTCCCTGGAAGGGCTACACGTACTTCTACCGGGACTATGAGCACGCCCATGAGGAGCTCAAGGGCGGCAACGATCACGAGAACACCGGCATGTTTGCATCTTTCGACGAGGAGAAGCCAGTGGTGTTGAACAAGGGACAGAAGAAGGCCCTGCGGGATTACAGCGACAGCATCAATCGTGAGGACACCGCTATGTGGGCCGAGCTCAAGGGAGTTCCGGCATACCGCCGGGCTTCCCGACTCCTTCCTCGTGGCTGTCGCTCCTTCGTTTTGGAGCTGTTTGCGGGAGCGGCCGCGCTCACGGCCATGGCTTTGGGATATGGCCTGCCAGCGGCCAGCCCGATCGACTTACAGGCGCCCGGCTGGAACCTGAGAGACCCCGCGGCACGGCAGCGACTTCAAGCTCGAATCGAGGAGGAAGACCCCTACCTCCTGGCCATCGCTCCCGTGACCCTTCCGTGGAACAGCTGGAACGCCTATGACCTTTGGAGGCCGGGCGAAGCAGCTGATGAAGTCCGAGCCGGGAGGCGCGAATGGTACGAAGCTTTTGCCTGGTTGTGTCAGCTTGTCCAGCAGCGCACCGCGCAGGGCAGACAGGTGGTGCTGGAGTCGTCTTGGAGCGGTTTGCTCTGGGAGACCAAGTGTTTGGAGCAGACCCTTGGCCAACACAACCCGGCCACCGAGCAGGACCTGGAGGTCGTCTATGTGGACATGTCGCGTCTGGGCTTGCGAGACATGGTGTCGGGACAGCCTGTGCCCAAAGAGTCCGGGATCCTCACGGCCTCTAGGCACACCAAGCAGGCGTTGCAGCAGGACTTCCGAGAAGCCGGAGGAGAATCGCCTGCCCGTCGCCACCGGCGAGCCCGGTTAGCAGCCAAGTGGCCGGACCAATTGTGCGAAACGGTTCTGCGAGGTGTCTTTGAGGACCTGCAGGAGCTTCACTGTGGAGTGGCGTCTGCTGCCGAGGAAGGCGCCGAAGCTAGCGAAGAACTCGGCACCTTGGATGCGCTGCACCGCCCGGAGGACGAGATCGATGTGCCTATGCCACCGCCTCTGCAACCACATGAACTACAACGGGAGGAGGTGCTAGAGGAGGCAGCAGAACCACAACAGCCAGAGGCAGAGAAAGAGAGGAAGCGGAAGTGGCTACGCCTGGAAAGAAACCAAAGGCTGGCTATTCGGCGGCTGCACCATATGACCGGGCACGCCTCGAACGAGAGCATGATGAGGATGCTCCGAGCTGCCGGGTCGTCACCTACTGTGGTTGCCGCCTGTCGCTTCTTTCGTTGCCAAGTCTGTTTGGAGAAAAAGAACCCACCGCAACCGAGCTCTGTTACCTCAGCGCCCCCGTACCAGTTCAACTATGAGGTTGGGTGCGATGCCTTTGAAGTTGTGGACGCGACGGGGGAGAAGCACACCATTCTGTCCCTGGTCGACTCTGGGACTAAGTACCATGTGGCTTCTCGTGTGTCCGGAGGCGGCGTACCAGGGAGCAAGGTGTGTTCCGACATGTTCTCAGCAAGCTGGCTGGCACCGTTTGGCCCGCCTAAGTTCCTGGTATGCGACCAGGGCGTTCACAACCGGGGGCAGTTCGCTGCACTCATGGCCTCGATGGGCACACAGCTTCGGATGGTCGGAGCCCGGGCACCTTGGCAGCTGGGAAGGACCGAAAGGCACGGGGGGATCCTCAAACAGATGATGAAGAGGATTATCCAGCAGCACCAGGTGCACGGTGGCGACGCAGTCAACTTGGTGGCGCAGCAATGTGCTGCGGTCAAGAACGGGTCCTACAACCACTCCGGCTATTGCCCGACCCAATGGGTACTGGGCAAGTTGCCTTCGGAAGTGACCTCCCTCACGGAGGAGAGAGACGTTGAGATGCTTGGGGCCCAGGAGGAGCACGCCGACGACACCAACGCTTTCGGCAAGCGACTGCTTCTACGACAGTGGGCCCGAGAGGCCTTCGTGTACATCGACGGAAGCCAAAGGCTTCGGAGGGCCATGTTGCGCCAGGCCCATCCGATGAGAGGGCCCTACCGGACCGGCGACCTCGTTTCTTACTTTCGCAAGGGAAAGTGGTTTGGGCCGGCTCGCGTTTTGTCCTTGGAAGGCAAGGCCTCTTACTGGCTGGTCCATGGAGGCATGACGGTGCTTGTGGCAGAGACGGCTTTGAGACCAGCCACCGTGGAGGAGATCCGCCGCCGGCAAGCGCTGGAGATGAGGCCCAGTTGGACGCGGCAGTCCGGAAAGCGCAAGCACCAGGACCTTGAGGAGGAGGAGCTCTTGCCATTCGAAGAAGAGGTTCCGGAGTTTGACGAGGTCGGCCAGGTACCCTACTTCAATTTCGATGGGCCGGCCCCCTCGCTGACCACTCCGGCCTTGATGGATGCAGAGAGTTCGGAAGCTCTACCTCCACCGCCCGGCCTTGAGGGACAAACTGCCGAACCATCGGCGACCGAAGGTGCGGGCGAAGAAGGGATGCCGAGACAGGTGACCCAGCCGGAGCAAGAACCGCAAGACGGGACCGAGACGCAGCCACAGCAGGACGAAGCAACCATGAACGAAAACCCCTCGACTTCGTCTACCTCTGGTCCTTCGGCCCCGCAAGTGCCGGCACCAGAGCCGCAGCAGGACGGAGCAACCATGCACGAAAACCCATCGACTTCGTCTACCTCTGGTCCCTTGCCTTTGTCGGCACCGTCGTCTTCAGTACCTGGGTCTAGGTCGTCTTCTTTACAAGCAGCTCTTCGTAGGTCTCCTGACGATCTAGACGGGCACCCGAGATCAAGGTCACCCTCTCGTTTTGGTCACTATGCCGTTCCTGAGGAGGTCCCAGCCAAAACCAAGCTCAGCATCAAGGAGGCCAACCGGAAGTTCCGTGCTTTTCTGGCACAGCGAGGGGAGAAGAAGTACAAGAAGAAAGTTGCAAAACAAGGTGCTGGACGAGAACTTCCCTACCACAAGGTTAGCCCAGAGATTCGGGCTGAGATCGACCAAGCTCGCCGAAAGGAATGGGACAACTGGAAGGGCTACACCAATATGCGGAAAATCTCCAAGGACGAGTTCGCTACTATGAGGGCGGCCAACCCTAGCTTGCGGGTCATACCCACAAGGTGGGTCGACATTGACAAGTCCGACGACCCCACTCAGCGCAAGCTCAAGAGCCGCTTCGTTGTGCGAGGCGACCTGGAGGACGCCAGCAAGATGAGGACAGACTCTCCAACAGGGAGCCAGGTGGCTATGGGACTTACTCTGTCCTTTGCTGCGTCGACGGGCCGCCCACTTCGTTCAGGAGACATCTCGGCGGCTTTTCTTCAGGGATCCGAGTTGGATCGCCAGCTCGTGCTCAGCATGCCTAAGGGCGGAACTCCCTACGACATGGAGGATGGCGACTTGATCGTGGTGTCCACCACGGTGTACGGCACCAAGGACGCGCCGAGGGGCTGGTATAAGAAGCTGGATGGCACTTTGGTACAGCAAGGCCTGCGAAGGGTGCCTCACGCGCCCGGCTTCTACGTGCTTACTGGCCACCGGGAGAATGGGCAGCCGTATGTCAAAGGAGTGCTGCTTATCCATGTTGATGACCTGCTCTGGTCTGGTGACCAAGACTTCCAGGACATTATGCTCACCGTGCAGGGCATCTACAAATTTGGGTCGTTGGAGGAGAAGGCTTTTCGCTATTGCGGGAGGCAGCTACGTCAAGACGACCGTGGCATCCATGTATCCTGCCCTGAGCTGGTGGGACGTGTGCGACCCATCGCCCTGGAGGCCCGACGAAAAGGACAAAGAGAGGCCAAAGCAACCTTAGAAGAAAAAGGGGCAGCTACGTTCCGTTATCGGCAGCCTCTCGTGGTTAGTGAGAGTGTGTCGGCCGGACCTGAACTACCAGGTGGCGAGGCTTCAAATGGCTGTGTCGGACCCTACGGTTCAAGACTTGGTGGACGCGAACAACCTCGTCCGCTATGCCAGCCGGACCAAGGACCAGGGAATCCTGTACCCCGCCGGAGCTCTCTCGTTTGACGACATGATGGTGCTGGCCATCCAGGATGCTTCCTATGCGGCCGACTACGACCTCAGCAGCACGGGCAAGAAGCTAGGTTACCGGAGCCAGAGCGGCCGGATGCTATTCTTGGCCCCGGGGAACTACATGAAGAATATGAGCTCCGTCGGCTATTTGATCAGTTGGCACAGTACCGTGATCAAGAGGGTGAGCAAGAGTACCCTTCAAGCAGAGACGCTTAGTCTGCAGCTTGGGGCTGCAGAAGCAGACCACCTCCGTGCCGTGATTCATGGGTTATATTGTGACATGGGAAAAGGGGAAGCAGAACAGTGGATGGTCGAAGCCCAAGACCGAACCCACACCGCGTGGTTCACCGACTGCTTTTCTCTTTGGTCACACCTGATGAACCCGGCGGCCGGATCGGTGGCGGACAAACGGCTCGCTATCGACCTTTGCGCCTTGAGGCAAGAGCTATGGAGGGGATCCGGACAGAGCGTCGGAGATCCCTTGGGCAGTGACAAACCGCCCGACGAAGCCAGTACTACCGTGACTTGGACGACGACAGATCGCATGCTGGCGGATGGGCTCACCAAGAAGCTCTTGTATGATAAGTCCATTTTGGACGTGATGGACGGACACGTCATCACTCTAGCTCCGAATCCTGATCAGAAAAGAAAGACCAGTGTGAACACTAGCCCTTGTGAGGACTAGCTGATCAGGATCGGAGTGCGCACTGACCGACCTTGCACCTGCATGGCTCAAGCTTTGCGAAAAGGCGCGAACCTCGACGCATGCATTCGATAGCGCTGTCAGTTCATACAAGTATACGATTTGCCTGTCTTCAATATCGCACACTATAAAACTTGAGTCACTGGCAAATCTACACTTGCTCTTCACTCCCCTTCTCCCGATTAAAACAATCGGGTGGGCATCGGGGCTTTGACCGGCCCCTATGCGCGAGAGAGAAAGAGAGCCCAGAGTCTGTATCTAGTAACTTAACGTTGCTGTTGTTTGGAAGTTTTTGGGACATGGGCGGCATGCAGCAAGTAGGGGACACCTGCAATACAAACCACCCCAGCACCACTACGGGCAAGCGGAGGCCTCAGTCTGTGTTGTCTTGTTCCCTTACGGCTACGTAACCTGACCCCTGTGCTTCCTAATCCAGACGCCTCTGCACCCACCACGCCAAAAAACCAGCAGCACAAGTTCCCCACCCAGAAGTGTAAACTGTTCCCCTACTCTTCGGTACCCTTTCCCCGTGTTTCCTTACGGGGACTTGTGCTGACAACAAGCAGAAGCAACCTAAACCACAAACCGTAGCAAGTTGAACGAGGAGTAGCCACTTCAAAAGGGGACCCCGCAAACGTTACTGCATGGACGCCGGGGCTTCTACCTTGACACGCTGTTGGTGTCGTGCTGCAAACTGGTAGCAAACGGGGACCCCACTGACAAAGCTCCGAACAGCCGTCACCGACAACGATCCGGGACACAGCGCGGAGTAACAACACAGAGAGGGGATCGGCACAAACGAGGAAGCCTAGGCGGGGACATGACATGGGCATGAAAGGGGAGAAAACCTGGACCTCACACTGCCGATCCCAAGCATGTCTCACGCCGACAGACCAGACACGACAGAGGCGTAGCGCCAGCGCGCAGGGGTTTCCCTGCCCCGCGAGCAAGCAAGCAAGAGAGACAGAGAGGGAGAACGGTTTGTTGTTCAATGTTCCCGATTGGAAGCCAGGGCTACTTTGAGAAGCCTTGTGGAGCAGTTTTGTCTTTACAAATCCCCTCCGTAACATACGGAGGCGCACTCGCGCGCGGGCTAGGGGGTCTCCCCCTAGTCCGTTACCCTGGCGAAAGAAAGGGGGTTCTCCCTCCACCACCCTAGCCCTGGCGAACGAAAGAGAGACAGAGAGACAGAGGCAGAGAGGGAGGAGGGAGCTTTTTGTTTCAACTCGAGTGTCTGTGGCGTTCTGGGCGAATGCAAGCCCAACATGCAGACCCACAGACCTCTTGCTGAGCAGAGAGACGACGGGGCAGCCGAAGGAACGCAAAGGAGGTCGCAAGGGACACTCGCATTTTAGGCCAGCCGAAAGTATGTAAGAGCAAGCAAGCAAGCAAGCAAGCAAGCAAGATTTTGGCTCAAGTCTACCTGCCGCTCCCCTTGGGGGGCACTTTGGGACTGCTGCCTGTTCCCAGCATTCCCACGGTGTGGACGTCCCTTCGGGTGGGGGGAGGCTTGAGTCATATATCCGTCGCTGTTCCGCTCCAGTGGCCCTCGTCCAGAGCCGTAGGACGTGCGCCATAATCATGAAGGTGGTGATATCTACTTCATTGCGTGTGACCTAGCCAGTGCAAGAACTTCACCTTGGCAGCTCAAGCAGAGGAGGGGACGAACTTCTCCAACCCGCGGGGCTTTTCGTTTGTGCTGACGCCGTTCCTGTTCTACCTGCCAGCTGGGTGGGGGACTATACCAAATCAGAGTCCGTGACTTGGGTCAGAACGGCAGGTACGGAGCGGGAACCTGCACCATAGGAATCAGGAAGACCCATGACCGAACAGATCCTCCAAGCAGGGCTTTACGGAATCACCACGAAAGCTAGCGTTCCACCAGCACGTGTCTGTAGCCGATCTCCTCAGGGCAGTGACGAAAGGGATTTGCCCCACACTTCGCCGCCTTCGACGCCAGCCCGTGACCTAAAAAGTTTCCACGTTCACTTCTGAGAGGGGGACTCTAGGGGGACTTTTCAGATTCGAGCGGACAATACGTGCGTGCATAAAACCCTTCGGTGTGCATGCTTTAAACAAGCATACAGTGCTTTCTCAGGTAAACTCTATTCTTCGGCCCAACTTGGCCATCAAATCCCAGCTTTTTTTTAACACACCTTCACAACCACTCCGTTCGATGGGGGAATTCGTGGGGACTCTCCAAGGCCCCAATTCGCTTCATTCCTTCCATGGCAGCCCGAGGTACTCACTAAACAAAAGCGGGGGAGTGCATGTTTTTGCCTTGGTGCCTCTTTCTTTCAGAACTCCTCCCCAACTTGAAGCTTGCGGTCTCGCCTTAGTAACTCACCTTCCCCATACTTTGCAATCTGTCGAGTACAGTGTTTACACTTCAACTTGGGGGGATCCGATACCCAACATCAGGGCTTGTGAACACTCCTTTCTGCAATGGTGCGAGCCTCAGTTTTGCTGTTTTCAATGCACATGTCCAGCGTGTGTTCATGAAGCAGGGGAACGCCACAAACTTCTCGTGTTATTCATCGTCTTGCTTTTACGATCGGGGGACCCTGCAGCCCAAACTTTTCGCTCCTGTACAGCGGAGCCCCTATGGGCGAACCCCATAGGGGATGAGAAGAAAGCCCGTGGACTGCGGGTGCGCGTGCGCGCGCAAGGGGGG